TAACTAATAAAATAATAATAGCAAATAATTATAATAATAAAAATAATTTAAATAAACACTAGGAGACTTTAGTAAGTCTCCTAGTTAAATGAATCATGATTCCCCGCCTCAGCTCCCAGCAACTAGTGCTATCCCCGCTGAACTTACCTTGTATTTATTTGTATCTATTTGTTTTACATATACATACATACATACACATACATACATATGTGTATGTATGTGTGTGTATGTATGTATGTTGTTTTCCCTAATAGAATGTAAGCTCCATGGGGGCAAGGACTGTTTCATTTTCAAATTTGTATCCCCAGTGACTAGCACAGTGCCTCAAAAATACTAGGTATTTAATAAATGAATGCTTATTTTGAAAATGTAGTGTTTTGAAAACCTAGAAAGGAGAGAATATGCAGGAGAAAAGAGTGATTAGCAGTGTAAAAGCTGCATGAAGAAAGATCAATAAAAATGAGAATTGAGAAAACACCATTAGAATTGGTATATAAAAGATCATTGGTAACTTTGGAGAAAATAATTTCATAATTATATGAATAATGAGATAATGGGATCAGAATAAGAAGATTGGAAGCCAGATTTAAAAGTTTAGAAGAAAATTAGAGGAGAGGAAATAAAGGCACCTATTATAGTTGACTTTCCTAAGGGGTTTACCCACGAAAGGAGGAGATATAAGACAATAGCTATCAAGGATGATAGATCCAGTGTGGGGTTTTTAAGTATGGGTGAGATGTGGGCATGTTTCTTAGGTGTCAAGGAAACAGTAAGTAGACAAGGAAAGATTGAAGATAAGTGAGAAGGCAGAGATGATAACAGATAATGTGCTAGAGAATACTGGATAGAAGAAGATGACTTGTACATATGGAGATAGGTCAATTCTTCATGTGAGATGCATCTGAAGGAGGAGAACAGGAGGAAAGACATCTGAGTAATGTAAGATAATGACGAGAGGAAGCTGGGAAGCTCTATGTAAATTACATCACTTTTTTTCAATAAAGTATGAGGCAAGATTCTCAGCTGAGAGGGAAGGGGTTAAAAAGAAGGAACTATGGGAGGTCTGAGGAAGAATGAAGAGGTTTTGACAAGCTGCTCATGGGAGTGAGGGTAGCAAATTGACTAAGGTGGTATAAAAGGATTACCTTGCTGCAGTGAGAGTCCAGTTGAGATTATCTAACATATACAAATATAGTGGACCCAGTCAACACTTGTGATTTTCTCTAGCTGTGTTCAACAATTCAATAGTATGTGAATAGGAACATAGGCAGACCATGGCAGGCAAAAAGTGTACCAGGTGATAAGTGCCAGAGATACAAATAAAGGCAAAAAACTGTCTCTATTCTTAAGGAGCTCCCATTCAAATGGGGGAGATAATAAGCAAACAACTATTTATCAACAAGCAATATACAAGATAAATTGAAGATGATCAGCAGAAAGAAGGCACAAGTATTAAGGGGCATCAGGAAAGTTTCCTGGTAGAATGTGGGATTTCATCTGAGGCTTGGAAAAAAACCAGGGAAGCCAAGAAGCATAGATGACAAAGGAAATAATTCCAGGTATGGCGGACAACTAATGAAATGCACAAGGTCAGGAGATGGAATATTTTGTGCAAGAAACAGTAAGGGGACCATTGTCATTGCATCACAGACTGTGAAGGGGGTGCTAAGAAGACTAGAAAGGTGGGAAGAAGGCCAGGTTATAAATGTCAAAGAGAAGATTTTATATTTGATTCTGGAGGTAATAGGAAGCCATGGAAGTTTATTGAATTGGAGGTAATGATATAGTCTATAGTCAAATCTGCATTTTTGGATGATTAATTTGATATTCTTTTATCTTTATTTATTTATTTTTTGGTGAGGCAATTGGGGTTAAGTGACTTGCCCAGAGTCACACAGCTAGAGTGTGTTATGTGTCTGAGGCTGGATTTGAACTCAGGTCCTCCTGACTCCAAGGCCAGGGCTCTATCCACTACGTCACCTAGCTGTCTCCTGAATGATTCATTTGAACATGAGTAGAGAATGTATGGAGTTTGGGAGAGAATTGAGGCAGAAAGACCAAGACCTCCAGGCAATGGCAGTGGTCCAGGTGTGAGGAGAGTGGCAGAGTGGTTGGTGGCAGTGTCAGAAGTGAGGAAGGCAAGTGATCCAAAATTAGAGCTTGCCAAAGCATGAACAATGACAGTATGCAGTTCAATCGGCTCTCCAAGGAGTAGAGATAACAAGCGGATTAGAATAGCAAGTGGTAATGGGAATTGAGTGAGCCATACTGGCTCCATTTTGTGACTCAGCACTAGGGCTAGATCAGTTCCCTTTCTACTCAATTATGAGTCTAGGCCATTTTCTGTCTTGTGAGAAAACTGTATTCAATTATTCTGTTGCATTGTTTGAACCTAGTCTTGCATGGCTGGGAAACTGGACCACATCTACCTATTTTTTAGAGACCTTTAACTAAGGACCTAGGTTAACTAAGACCCTTAACTGAGGACCAGACACCCAGGCAGATCTAAAGATGGATGCCAGGAGCGTTCTCACAATTATACATCTCAAGCAGCCCATATGTCTTATCTGAAAACTGGTCCCATAATAATCAATCAGTTATGGTTTCCATGTTCCTTTGATTGGATACAATCGCTTTGGGGGAGTGGGACGCCTCTTTTTTGATTTCAGGGGATTGTATCTGTTCACTCTCCCGCTCCCAACTGGGAAAGTCTCTAAAATCTTTCCTCCAGTTAGAATTCAGATTACCTAATTTTGTATCCAGTTAATTGTTTTCTTTTAATTAATTGGTTTTATTTGATTAATTATTTTTAATGCTTAAAAGCCTGTCTTCCTCTGTATTTGGGGTTTCATCCTAAAGCACCTCTGCTGGAACCTGGGCCTGGAGCCAATTTGTTACACAATTGGCATGCGTTGCTTATGTGACATTTTTAAAAGTTGGAGAGACATAGTTTCTGAGTAATTTAATCATTTTATTAATAAGTCCAGTAGGTTATTAATAAAAGGATGGTCATTTGGCTGGCTCTCTGAGAACAAAGACCATTAAGGTTGGAGGGACTCACAGTTTATATACCCTTTCAAAGAGTAGGTGATCCATGATAGGCTGAGAGTGATTCTTGGACAGAGAAATTATCTCTACTCAGACCACCCACAGCCTTGCCCTATCTAGACAAAAGTTCTATCTCCCACCCAAGCTTGAGCAGAAGACAATGGGCTTCCCCACCTTAGATTAAATTCCTGTAAGGTTGGGTGGGGTCTAACCAAGAAAAGAGGAGAGTTAATGCAATCTCATTAACAGTAACATCCTTCAAGAAACTGAACTTTTTAAAATGAGAAATTTAGAATAAAGGGAGAGCTCTGAATCTCCCCAAGATGTTGGTTATCAATAATCATTTCTCTTATGTAACAAATTGATAGCTTGGAAGTTCAAACCTTTGTTTCCTCAGTAATTTCATCTTTCACCTGCCATACGAAAAGGGAGATGGCGTGGGAAAGAACTGAGGGCTAGAAGAATTGGAGGTCACCATGAAGACCAAAAATAGTCCTAGGAATCTTAAAACAGAGGGAAAGATGGAATAGCAAAACATTATAATCAGATAAAGGAACTTCAGAATTAAGGAGCATGTAAGTGGAACACTGGTGGGTAACAGCAAAAACAGGAATATGGGGACCTGAGTTCAAATCCGGCCTCAGACCAAACACTTGACACTAACTAGCTGTGTGACCCTGGGCAAGTCACTTAACCCCAATTGCCTAAAAAAAAAAAAACCAAAAAAAAAAAAAACCAGGAATATGTCCATCTCTCTGTGTGTAGCTGAGGTAGACTGGAGAAGTAGGTAATGGGACTAAAGTAAATTTAAGAACTTGGAAGTTAAGGTGGTCATATATGTGTTCAAAACCCCTATTATGAACATGATCTGGAGAGAAAGACTGTGAGCAAAGAACATTGAGGAAAGAAGATTGAATACTAAAAGTTGGTATATAACTACTACCAGAATCTTGATTGGGTAATAAATATGGCTTGAACGACCCTTGAAGGAGAAAAAGTTACTACTGGTTTTGGCAGAAGGAGGGTCTGGAAGTGGCAATGGGGATGGAGATAAAGACTTGGATATTTCTAGGGTTTTATTAAGAGAACTCAAAAACTGTAAACAAAGTTTGACCTAGGATCGTAGGATCACAGATTTACCTTGGAAATCATCTAGTTCCCTCTCATTTTTCAGATGGGGAAATGATGCCCCAATTTTTTAAATTTTGTAATCCTAATTAAGCCACTAAACTGCAGAGCATGACTCAGAAGACTACCTACTTTACAGAAGAGGTTTCTTTACAAGGAACTACTGAAAACAGAATGTTGAAATGATTCTTAATAACCAATGATTTGGGAGATCTGGAATTTCCCCTTTTTCTATAGCCTTCATTTCAAAGTTCAGTCTCTTTTTTTTTAAATGAAAAACTTTTTTTTTCAAAGTTCAGTCTCTTAAAGGACATTATTGATAATGAGATTGAATTAACTCTCCTCAATCTTGTCAGACCCCACCCAATTTTACAAGGAATTTAATCTCAAGGTGTTCTACTCAGATTTGGGTGGGGAGAAATTCTTTGATTAGATTGCCCAAGGCTGGGGGTAATATAGAAGTAAATGACATAATCAAAATTCATTAGAATAGGTCCAGCCCTTCATTGTAATATTCATTCTCTCTCATTACTTGTCACCAGAGTTTATTGTCACCCTCTGGAGTACCCACTTTTCCAAGGCCATATAAGCCATATAAACCCACTGCCATGAGTGTCTTTGGCATTCAGGAATTCCACTGATCTCTTTTATTAAAATGCTAACATTATTAATAAAATGACTAATCACCCAGAAATTATGTCTTTCTAACGTTTTAAATGCCACAGTGTTAAAAGTAAAAAAAAAAAACTATATCCTGTTACACTACGGAATAGAGGAGTAACCTCATTTACCACTAACCAATTTCCTCAGACTTCCCCCTTGCTAATGCTGTGCTGCTTTCTCTTGCCTCACAACTGAAGACAGGACACACCCTCCAAACATCAGTAAAGGTCTGAGGCCTCATTCTTACAAAGTTTACTGGATACAGGAGTTGGATGGCCATGGACTCCTGGCTTGGAATAATTATATTTTCAGTTTTTTCCATCTGCAATTGGGCATATAAAATGGATACTCTGCCAAACATCGAAAATGAAGCTTTCATCAAAGAGTGTGTTGACCTTCATAACAAGTTTCGGTCACAAGTGAACCCCAAAGCCAGTAACATGCTGCGTATGGTAAGGAGACAATCATAATCTATGGCATGGACAAAAGGAATGTGGGTTCTTGGCTCTGTGGCAGATCCCTGGCAACTAGATTTCACTAAGTCATTATTGCTTATATGGAGAGCAATTTTGCAAGCCTGAGCTTCTTGGGTGGGGGTGGGAGAGGAGGGAAGTTACCATTTACATAACGTTTTAAGGTTTACAAAATACTTTTCATAGCTATTAGTAGGCACTATTATTAACCTCATTTGATGAATAAAGAAACTAAGGCTCATAGAGGTTAAATGACTTGCTCAGGGTCGTTTAATCTGCAAGGGTCTGAGGCAGGATTCTACATCAGGTCTTCTTGCAGCTGCCTGACAAACTTCCCAGCGGCAGCAGGAATGACCCTGACATCGAGGCTCCAAGAACAATGTTTCATTACTCTTAGAATTTTCTTCTCTTTGCTCAGTGTTGTTGTTCATAGAGTTCGGTTTTTTTTTAATTGTATAACTTCTTGTTTGTAGGTTTTTCACTGTAATTGAGTTGATATTCTCTGTGTGTATTGTACTATCTGTCCTTTAAGTTGTAAACTATTAGCTCTGTGACACTAGGGACAACTTTTTTTCCATATGAAAACTTTCCAAAGAAAGTTTTCCAAAGAAAACTCATTTGCAATGTTTCTTTTTTTTTTTCTAAAATGAAATTTTATTGGTATATTTTGTTTTCACATCATTTACATTTCCCAGTGTTTTCGGCATCCTCTCCCTTCCCTAGATACCCCTTAAAACACACACACACACACACACACACACACACACACACACACACACACACAGAAGGAGAGAGAGAGAGAAAGAGAGAATCAGCAAAACAAATCAACACATAAAAAAATTCTATAATATACTGTGTTCCATAATCATAGACCCCAAGCTCTGCAAAGAAAAGGGGGACGTACCTTATATATTTTCTTTAGGGCCCACTTTGGTCTTTATAATTCACTGACATTCATATTCAATTGTTATTTTTTCCAGTTACACTGTTGTAGATGTTGTGTATATTGTCATATAATTATATTTCTGTTCCTGCTAACTTCACTTTGTTTCAGTTCATGACTTTCCTTTTTTTTTTTTTTTTTTTGGATTTTTTGGTGAGGCAATTGGGTTTAAGTGACTTGCCCAGGGTCACACAGCTGGTAAGTGTGAAGTGTCTGAGGCTGGATTATGAACTCTGGTCCTTCTGACAAGGCTGGAGCTCTATCCACTGAACTACCTAGTTGCTCCAGATTCCATATTTATTATAAAACAATACTATTCCATCACTTATTTATTTAGCCATTCCTAACCATCATTATTTAACCATTCCTAATCACCACTTTGTTTCTAGTTTTTTACTACTACAGAAAAGTGCTATTATAAATATTTTGGTTCATAGAGGGCCTTTCAATTTATCGTTTACCTTCTTAGATTATGTGACTAGCTGTGGAAACTCAGGGTCAAGATATATGAATGTTTAGTCATTTTTTTTTTTTGCTCCCACATGATTCCACATTGCTTTTCTCAATGTTTGGACCAAATTATAGCTCCACCAATAAAGCATTAACGTATCCATATTTCCACAACCCTTCCATTACTGATTATTCCTAGTCTTTGGTCATCTTTACCAATTTGCTAGATTTTAAGAGAAGTTGCTTTTATTTGTATTTTTAAAAATTATTATTACTAACTTGGTGCATTTTGCTTGCATATGATTGTTAATGGATTGTAATTTTTTTTTCTTTTGAGAACTATAGATTCATATCCTTTGGCCATTTATTTGATGGGGAATGGTTTCTGGTCTTATATGTTACTATTCATTTTCTATACCTCTTGGATATCAGATGCTTATCAGAACTATTTGATGAGAACTAACTGACAATGTTTGTGTCAAACCCTTGGTGCAAAGCACCATTTGCATAGGACTCTGTCCTCATTGTTGGTGAGTGACAATGCCCCATGCCTGTGTTAGGGATAGGCAGAGTTGGTGAGGGATGGAGAGAAGAGAGATCCATGCTCTTCTGGCTTCCAGTGTTAATAGAGAAGGTATGCTATTCCAACCTTTCTATAGGACTCTAGAGGGAGAATGACTCTGGGAAGAAGTTGACATGTAGAGGAGCTGTCAGTTCCTATCATGTCCCTATTTCTAGTATACTAAACTGGAAACTTTGGGTGAGATCTCTCCTATAGGGTAAGATCTTGGACTCTTTCTCTTGGTTGAGCTGAGTTTTTTCACTCCCATAGGGAGAGCTTATTGAATCTGTAATATTGGTCATATATTCTTGTGTATATACCTGCTCTGATTTCTGTGTTGCTATCAACTTGGATAAATGGGTTTATTTGCTATTTCCTTTATGTATTCATTATGGAATTGGTATCTGGTGGGAAGGAAGTCAAGTCTTAGATAAGCAGCTTGGGCACTTCTTTATTAAGAGATAGTGATCAGAAATAAAGCTTGAAGCTAAAAATTACTTTTCCTAGACTTAGAATATTTAAGAGATGATCAGAGAGACATAAATCTAACCTGGTACCCCTTGTCTCTGAGGAAAGCAGACGAGTGGCCAAGCTGTGGCCCCAACCTCCTGCTTTACCTCCTGACAGGAATCAAAAATTCCCTCAGAGAAGAGTGAGAGGAAGAGACGCTAGAGATACTTGTTCTTGGCTCCCCATGAGCCCTATCTAAACAGACTCATGTGGGCGCATACAACCAACGTGAACAAAAACAAAACAATGCCCACATACGCTACAAACTACTCTTCCACGCAGAACATGTCTGAAGGAGTGGCAGGCCTATCCCATGCTCCCATTAACCCAAGTCTCCCCATCAAATTCTTATCCTATATTTCCTCAACAAATCTATGAGTGACAGGTTCCTTGGGCTTATAATTGACTAACCTCTCTTTTCTTTTATAGAGCTGGGATGCAGACTTGGCCAAGTCTTCTAAAGCCTGGGCAGAAAGGTGCGAGTTTGAACATAATGTTGATTTGAGAAATCCCAAAAAGTTGCACCCTACCTTTTCTTCATTGGGAGAGAATATCTGGGTAGGCTCAGTTGGGGCATTTTCTGAAGAATCTGCCATCAAGATGTGGAATGATGAGGTCAAAAACTATGATTTCCAGACTCAGAAATGTACTCATGTGTGTGGCCATTACACTCAGGTAATTTTTTCATTTGATTTGTAATGACCCCAAATAATCTATCAACAAATATTTGTTGTCCGTTATGTATACTAAGCACTATGCTAGGCAATAGGGATACAAAGGCAGTAAAGAAACCACCCCTGCCCTCAAGAAGCTGATATTCTATCAGGGAGACAAAATGTACATGGATAAGTATATAAAAATAAAAATTAAGAGGTTAGAAGGTGGGGTGCCAAAGGGCTAGCAGCTGCAGGGATCAGGAGAGGTATCCCATAGAAGGAGGTCCTAGAGCAGAGTTGTGAATAATAAGTTGGGAATCTTAGAGGTGGAAGTGAGGAAGAAGTTTTTTACATATGTGGGGCACAGCCTATGGAAAAGTGAGGAAAGAGGAGATGGAATGTCATGTATGGAGAACAGCAAAGAAGGATAGTTTGGCTAGACTATAGAATGCATAAAGGGGAATTATATATGATATTTTTATAAAGCTAGAGGAACCTGGTTGGGAAGTGCTTTAAATGCCAGATAGAGAAGTATACTTTTTAATCCTTGAGATAATAGGGAGTGTCATAAGTGGATTCATAATAACTGAAGAAACAAATTCCATGCTATGAGATTTATGAGCAGAGCATGAATAATAAACTGGGTGTGGGGCCCCTCAGTAGGCACAAAGATCTTGAAGACAGATTTTGCACAGATTTTTATACATTGAAAGAAAACAATAAACAGGATACAAAACAGGATGTAGGATTAGGTAATCCAACTTCTTATTGGAAGAAAGCTCAGGGACTTTTCAAATTGGGGGGTAGGAGTGGAGAGCAAGTGAATTGAATTCCCTCAGATCAGGTGAGTTACAGGAAAACAACAAAATGGAGTCAGTGTTCAAAAAATGCAGTGAGTCTGGTTTTCACAGAAGCCATTGGTGTTTATTGAAGAAGAGCATTTATTGGATGAGTGACCATGGGCAGATCACTTAATCTTTCTTTGAAATGTGTTAAATAATGCCTGTTATATTCACCTCACATGATGTATATAGATAATGTATATAGATAATAGTAATGATATAATAGTAATGTATATAGATATATAGTAATAACTGATTTATATAGATCTATAGTGATACAGATGTATAGGATATAATAAATACATAGTAATAATAATAGTAATATAGATAGATAGATAGCACTATATGTTATTATTAAACAATGACATAAATCTAAGCTAATGTTTTAAAAAGAAGAGCCTAAGGAAGATTGCCAAGCCTTTAGAGTTGTTGTTATTGTTGTTTGATATATACAATATTTGAGCTATAAGGGATATCATGATTGGCATCTAGTCCAGCCCCTTGATTTTAGAGATGAAGAAATGGAAATCCAGAGAGTTGATATAATTTGTCCCAGGTCATACAGCTAGTTAGCTCAGCTCAGACAGCTCAGACTTAAACTTAGGTCTCTATTCCTAGTCCACTGCTTAGTATAATTTGATTAGATTCTACAAGATTGATTGAGTGCTTACTATGTTCTAGGTACTGTTCTGGGTTCTGGGAATATAAACACAAAAATAAATCGGCCCCTCCCTTTAAGATGTTTGTATGAGAGAGGGAAGCAATATGTGCACAGAAAAATAAATACAAATGTTTTGCCAAAAAAAAAAAAAATGTCAAGCAATTTCTGAGTAAGGGTCCAGATGTGGAGGAAAGTACTTTCCCAAGGAATGGAGAAAGTAGTAGTTGTAGTAGTTGCTAACACTTGGGATGAGCCTTCTATGGAGCTAAGAATTCTAAGAGGTGGAAATGAGGAGAGAGAGCACTCCTAGAACAGGGAACCATTCAGGAAAGGGTAAAGGGGCAGGAGATGGGAATGTCATGTATGGGCAACAGCAAATGGGTCTGTCTGATGGAATGTAGAGTGCATGAGGGGTAGAATAGGAAATATTTGGAAATATCAGCTGAAGTCAGATTGGGAAGGGCTGTAAATGACAAATAGAGGAATCTTGATTTAATTCTAGAGACAAGAGGAAACCACGGACACTTCTCCAGTAAGGGATGGACATGATCAGAGCTGGATTTTAGAAATATCAGTTTGGGATCTGTGTAAAGAGAGAGAGACAGAGAGAGAGAGAAAGAGAGAGAGAGGGAGAGGCAGAGAGGGAGAGGCAGAGAGACAGGCAGAGAGAGAGAGAGAGAGAGAGAGACAGAGAGACAGAGAGGCGGAGGCAGAGAGAGACAGAGAGAGAGAGAGAGGAGAGAGAGAGGCAAAGACAGACAGAGAGGCAGAGGCAGAGAGAAGAGAGAGAGACAGAGAGACAGAGACAGAGAGAGATAAAGAGAGAAACAGAGGAGAGAGAGAGAGGGGGGCAGAGGCAGAGAGAAGAGAGGGAGAGGAGAGACAGAGAGAGACAGACAGAGAGAGGAGAGAGAGAGAGACAAAGACAGAGAGAGAGGAGAGAGGCAAAGGCAGACAGAGAGGCAGAGGCAGAGAGAGAGAGAGAGAGAAAGAGAGACAGAGAGGCGGAGGAAGAGAGAGACAGAGAGAGAGAGGAGAGAGAGAGAGGCAAAGACAGACAGAGAGGCAGAGGCAGAGAGAAGAGAGATAGACAGAGAGACAGAGACAGAGAGAGATAAAGAGAGAGACAGGAGAGAGAGAGAGAGGGGGGCAGAGGCAGAGAGAAGAGAGGGAGGGGAGAGACAGAGAGAGGCAGACAGAGAGACGAGAGAGAGAGGAGAGAGAGAGAGACAAAGACAGAGAGACAGACAAAGAGGCAGAGACAGAGAGACAAACAGAGAGGCAGAGATAGAGAGAAGAGAAAGGGGAGACAGAGAGACACAGAGAAAGAGAGACTGGAGGCAAGGATACCAATTAGCAAGCTATTGCAATTATCCTGGACACCTACCTGTGAGTGGAGAGATGAATGTAAGAAATATGGTAGACTAGAGCCCACAAGACATGGCATATCACTGGATATTAAGGAATGGTGTTGCCCCTTCCTCAATATGTTTCTCAAATTACAAGGTCTGGGAATGTAGAGGGGAGAAGAAACTCTTAGGATGGGTCCCAAAAAAGGAGGGGTATAGGATGATGAATTAGAGAGGGGGCATCAGCAGCCTTCCTCTCTCATCACCAACTGGCATCAGTGCTACTCTCTAGGTGGTCAGTGCCCAAGTTTTTCATATTTCCCTTTCACAGCTAACACAGATGAGTCTAAGAGGGTGGAGGATGAGAGAAGCAACATGGGTTCAAGATACACAGGCTACCACTTGGGCCATATTCCATTACTAAGACCTCATCACAGACAAAGAGGTCACAGTCTAGCCTCCTCTCCATGTCAGCTCTTCACATTTATTTACTAGCCTCTTTTCCTTCTGCTAACAGAAAAAAAACAATTCTAGAATTTTAAAAGGGGGTGGTTGTAAATAAGATCATAGGTATATGGGGAAGAAGAAAGAGCTATTATCTGAAACATGAAGTATACTGCCCTACCCAATTCTTTACCTACCAACAACAGTAAAGCTGCTACAGCAACTTGGACAAAGCACACCTGAGATTTGTGGACAAGAAAAACCAAATGGAAAATAAATAATCTAAATGTAGTTTGACTTCATCATAAAAGAGCTTATGTGGTTGTCAGGCTCCAGAGAATGCTCAGGCATACAAAAACTCTCCTTAAGAGGGTCCAATTAGACTCATAATAATGATAACTAGCATTTTATATAGTGATTAAAGTTTGCAAAGTGTTTTACGTATGTTTTACATATGTCATCTCCCTTGATCCTGATGACAATCCTGGGAGGTAGGTGTTATTATTATCACTAGTTTACAGGTGAGGAAAATGAGACAAATAGGTTAAATGACATATTTAGTGTCATGTAGGTAGTGAGAGGCAGGATTCAAGATCATGTCTTCCAGATAGAATATTCCCTGCTATAACCTTTTTGAATCAAAGCCTTTATTTTCTTTCAGGTCGTTTGGGCAAATAGTTACAAGGTTGGCTGTGCAGTTCAATTTTGTCCACAACTTAAAAAGACTTCTATTAGGAACGGAGCACTTTTTGTGTGTGAATATGGACCAGCGTAAGTTCTTCTGTTAATCTGTCTGAAAGTCATTTATTTTGATCCCTGAAGGTGGGTTAAAAGAAATCTATGCATCTCTCTTAAAACAATGCTGATGTACAAGTGACAGACCTTGAATGGAGAGCTATCCCTGCCTGAAAACTAGAAGAGAATTACTTTGTGTGGAGAAACACATACACACACACACAACTAGGAGTTCATGACCAAAGTTCTAATCATGAAATAATTTAGTTGGCGTGTGTGTGTATGTGTGTGTACCTAATTATAATTCACTTTGTTTTTCTTCAAAGTTACAATAAAAGAAGGTGTGTGGTACAGTTTATAGGATGTTCTGTGAAACACTGGGAAAACCTGGGTTCATCTTCTTCCTGTGACACACTTACAGGGAGTTTAAAATTGTCCAACCTACAATAAAAGAAAGTGAGGCAGAGCTCTAAAGGGTCCATGATTTCCTCTAATGAAGTGAACCCACAATCTTTCTCATGATCTAAGATGCTCATGGTCCCTGGGACTGTGTTTTTATAGGGTTTGATGCCCAACTATGCAAATGAGGCACAGTAAAATACAGAATCTCATTGATTGATAGACCTTGCTCCTGAGGGCCAAAAATGATGTATCAGCTAAAAAATGGTATATCGTGCGGAGGTCTTGGGTTGGGTGAAGCACTTATGACCACTGACTAACTAGTCATAAGATGGTCACCTGGTCATGCTGGACAACATAAAGTGGTCCAGAGGTACAAAAATAAGTTGGGGAACTTTCCAAAGAATCAAAGCATCCCACCCATGCAGGGTTTAGACATGGAACTCAAGCAAATCAGGATGGAGAGATCTTTGTCTGCATTCTTGTTGTGCAAGTGAACATCGTAACTGGTAAACAAGTAGTGAACATTACATTAAAGCCTATTATAAAGGTCTAATATAAGATATCCTGTCTTATCTAATTATCCTTATATGATCTATGTAAAATATCGAACTTATTAATACTGATTGGAATAAGGTAGGGGTTCTACTGAATCATATCTCACATTCACTGGAATTCAGGGGTGGGGAACCTACAGCCTCAAGTCCACATGTGGCACTCTAGGTCCTCAACTGTGGCCCTTTGACTTAACGAATTTGTTTTGCGAAATTTGGATTCAGTCAAAGGGCTGTACTTGAGGACCTAGAGGGCCACATATGGCCTTGAGGCTGCAGGTTCCCCACCCCTGTGGGACTAGATTATGGGTGAATCATAGGATCATAGATTTAGAGCTCAAAGGACCTTAGAGCATATCAAATCCAACCTTTTCTCTTTTTACAAATGAGGAAACTGAGTCACTTAACATTTCTGAGACTCAAGTAGTTGTCTGAATCATAAATGAGTTTTGGATGGAGTATCCAGTCTGGGAATTCCCACACCAATTTAATTACAGATCTTTGGCACATAGGTGTCCATAGAGTGAGAGACAAAGTATAATCTATAGGCCTAAGTCTTAATTAAATCTCACAATTAGGGAGAGACAAAGTATGGAATGTTGTTATAATACAATGTGGTTGATTAAAAAACACATTTTATAAGTATTTAAATAAAAAATTCTTATTAAAATAAAATTTTTAAAAAATAAAAATAAATGAATATTGTCCCCTGGAAAGCAGTATCCCTTTAGGGCAGTTAGAGGGTTGTTTCGGTGGTACTTCCATTGTTCAAGCTGTTGGGGGAACTCCCTTTTAAGTTGCTCCCAGAATCTGATGCAGTCCTGCTTGGCCATTGTGCGGGGTGGCAATTCCTCACCCTTTAAAAGGGTTGGATGCCCTTTTGGGCAAATTGCTAAACCTTTCGTTGCCTCAATTTCCTCACTATAAAATAGGAATAACAATAGCATCTACTCCCCAGAGTTGCTGTGAGGATCAAATGAGATAATATTTGTAAATTGCTTAACACAATGCCTGCTACATACGGATGCTTAATAAAGGCTTGTTCCCTTTCCCCCTTTTTCTTCCTTGAGGGCAAGGGACCTTGTATTACCTTGTATTCCCAGTGCCTGGCACATGGTAGACATTTCACTCATGCCTTCTGGATGAAAGAAATGAAAAGTGAACCATACATTACAGATTAAAAAAAAAAGTGAGGTGCAGACTTGTCCATGTGGGGGTGGATTTTAAACTTAGAAAGTCTTGCACTTAATGAACTTCCCTGAGCCCCTCGAGTATCAGAGATATAAAGATAGGAGGAAGCTACAAAGTCATCTAGTCTGCTGCCCTTGTTTTACACTCCAGGAAAAAGAGGGCCAGGATATTGTGACTCACTCAAAAACCACACAGGATACTGAGTGACAGGGCCTCTTTCAACCCAGGTCCTCTGCCCTGGGTTGCACTTGTTCCCTGCACCACATTACCTCAAGAGGTTGGGTCATTTTGATAAATTAAATTGGCCCAACTCCCAGCAATTTGAATAAAATAAAACTAGATCTGATTCCTTTCTGCGGAAAACAAACCATTCCTACACAGACTGACTAGGCAGTGATGATGCTTAGTTCTCACATCCTGTTTGTGATCAATCATGCCTTTGATGGGATAGTTGGCAATATTCGTGAGAGGAAGTCTTCCTTGAGTACTGATTTATATCAGATGAATTTCATGGTAGAAAACAAAAGGGACATCATCTTTCTATGCTTCCCCACCATCCTCTCTCCAGTCTTCACGCCTGTGAATGTTAGGAAGTGTCTTTGCCCCACACTTAATCCTGCTGCTTTAGCATGGACAGTCAAGCATCCTTCCCCCAGTTTTTGTTGTTGGTCTTTGTCCTTTCTTTTTGAAGAGGACTGATGACATCACAGGGTAATGACTTGTAGCATGAATTGGATTTAAGTTCACTCTCTGACTTTTGTCTCCCAGTTAAGTAAGTCAGAGAAAGGATGGAGGTGGGGGGTGGGGAACAGGACTTCTGCTTTGGTGTCCATATTCCTCCCCTTGTACACCTGGACCATAAAAGGAAAAATTACCTGGTCTACTGAGGAGGGAAAGAACTAAAATTAACTGCTTCAATTTCACTAACTTTTGAAGCCCCTTAAAGTGCAAGGACCGCTAAGTATCTGCCTAGTGAAACTACTGGATGGATAACTGAGAGTGTGCACTGATTTTGCTTTTGTGACTCATGAATTTGTCCTGACAATATTTCCAGAAAAGAGGGTCCCAAACTGGTTTGAGCCATGGTAGCATAAGAAAAAGTATATGGTGTCCCAAGGTGAATACATGGAAGAGAATAACATTCACTTAGACTTAGGAGTTCTGGCAAGCTGATTAAAAAACAAAACAAAACAAAAAATAAACCTCTTATTTTAGGACAATACTTTATGTTTGGAGGCAAAGAGAGTAGGCCCAAATGTTCCTATCTCATGAGCCATTTTCATTTGGTAGAAGCTTTCTACCTGGTAGGATCGGGAAGAGTTTGCCAAGAGCCTGGTCCACAGGGATTGTTCAGTGTTGAGACTGACTGACCTAGTGAAGCTGGGCCTGGAAGTAATACGCTCTATTCTTCTAGGAGCCACTGATCCCTACCTGGCCTACCTTCTACACTCCAGGCCTTTCGTCTTTTTGAATTAGCTCAGGGGTTCATAGTCTACTGAAACCATATGTATCAATTAATGAACATTGTTCATCTGCTTCACAGAGGAAATTATGCTTATACGCGACCATACGAAGAGGGAAAACCCTGCAGTGCCTGCAAAGAGGATACATGTATGAACCGTCTGTGTGGTAAGTCAGTGAATATCCTCAGATATTCCTGATTCTAGGCCCAGTGCTCTATCCACTGTGCTACCTAGTTGCCCCAGTATAGTAGGAAAGGTAGCAATAAAAAATACCCATAAACTTATGTAGCATATTGTCATCAATATATGCACTATTAGTAGATAAAACTACTGTTTTGATTGTATTGATTGATGATAATGATGGTGGTGGTGGAGAAAAAAGGAAAGAAGGAAGGAAGGAAGAGAGGGAGGGAGACAGAGAGAGAGAGAAAGAGAGAGAGAGAGGGAGGGAGGGAGGGGGGGAGGGAGAGAGGAAGGAAGAGAAGGAAGGGGATCCATAGACTGTCTGAACATATCGCTGACAAATTGTTGGCTTTAAAAATTAAGTATAACTCTTTTGCTTTTAGTACCCAGTGTTAGCTAAAAGTTAATTCTAAGACTCTCTGTACAACTTCTTCCATTTTGCATTTCCTAAACTTCTTCACTCATCATGTGAAAGTTAGATGCCTGTTTCTTGTACACAGCATATTCTCTTCATCTTCCTTATTTCCTCTTTTTTTCTTTTTGTTTGTTTGTTTGTTTTTTAAGGCAGTTGGGGTTAAGCGACTTGCCCGGGGTCACACAACTAGTAAGTGTCAAGGGTTTGGTCCGAGGCAGGATTTGAACTCAGGTCCTCCTGACTTCAGGGCCGGTGCTCTATCCACTGCGCCACCTAGCTGCCCCCTTATTTCCTCTTAAGCAAAGAAATGCACCATTTCTCACATGATAGCACAGTGTGAGGAGGGCACATTCTTTTATTTTTCTTTTATTATCAGTGATGTTTGCACAGTTAATCACACTCTTCCCTGGTAGCTCCTCTTGAGCCCACAGCCTGCATTTCTGTAATGGTCAGCTGAGGTTCAGAGTATAGTCAGTTGATGATCAAGGCAGAGAATTCTTCTCTGAGTAACAGAAATAGTTAAGATGGGAATGGAGTCTGCAGTCTTGGTCCCAGTATCACCATCTTTTTCTAATCCATTGGGCATCATGGCCAAGATCTTTTTTTTTCTATAAAGGAGCACTATGTTATGTGCATGTCTTCAGAGGAAGAAAGTGACCTAGACATAATCCCCTAATTAATATCTGAAATACCAACATATAAGTAGATAAGAGTTGATGGTTTGATACTTCTGGTTAAGATGGCATCCTAAAAGGCCCGAGAGTTGCCTGGCTCTGCCACAGACATTCCAGCAAAGTTCTAAAAATGCCCAGGGGGTAGTGGAGCCAAGAAGGCAGAGTAAAAGCAGTGACTTGCTTGAGGTCTCCCCCAAACCCCTCCAAATACCTGTAAAAATGGCTCTAAACAAATTCTAGAGCAGCAGAACCCACAAAAAGACAGAGTGAAACAAATTTCCAGCCCAAGATAACCTGGATGGTTGATTGGAAAAGTCTGTTGCAACAGGTTGCAAGAGGAGCACAGTTCAGTGTGGGTCATGCAGGCAAAGACCATACCTCAGCAAACCCAGAGTAGGCCTCAGGGGACTGAATCACTAGCAGCTGTAGTGGTTTCCAGGCTTCTCAACCCACAAATGCCAAAGACAACTTAGAAAGTCAGTAGGAAAAGTCTGTCAGACCTTGATGAGAGAGAAGCGTGGTCTGGCCCCAGAGAGAGGAGCACAGTCTAGGCCCCAGTCCTGGCACAGCCCCGGGGTGGTGATGGCTACTTCTGGAGCTCTCGGCTCACAGACTGTGGGGGGATTGAGTGACTGATCAGAGGGGGATTGCAGGGATCTCTTTGTTGGTGCTGAGGCAGGATTCTCTTACTTTGCCCATGCTTGGACCTAGGTGTCAGTCCTGGGGTGAGGAGGAGCGCTGGCATGGTGGAGCTTGTAGTGGTGATGAAGAAGGAATTCTCCTCACAGTTCCAAGGCAGAAAAGAATGCTTGTGGTCACTCATAGATCACAGCACAGGCCAGGAAGGGAGTAAACACCTCACCTTTGATCATACCACCTTGGAAGAACTGAAAATTTACAGGTCCCTAGAAGTATCTCTGAAAACAGCTGCACAAAACCCCTGAAGCTTACACCCTCCACACTGGAAGCAGAACCCTACCTTAACAAAGAGTTTAAAAGTCAAGTAATTGGCTGGGAACATGAGCAAACAGCACAAAAAATGTCAGACCACAGAATCTTACTTTGGTGACAAAGAAGATCAAAACATACAACCAGAAGACAACAGAGTCAAAGCTCCTAAATCCAAAGCCTCCAAGAAAAAATATGAATTGGTCCCAGGCCATGGAAGAGCTCAAAAAGGATTTTGAGAAGTAAGAGAAGTAGAGGGAAAAACTGGGAAGAGAAATGAGAGTGATGCAAAAAAATCATAAAGAACAAGTCAACAGCTTGCTAAAGGAGACCCCAAAAAATACTGAAGAAAATAACACCTTAAAAAATAGCCTAACCCAAATGGCAAAAGAGGTCCAAAAAGTCAAGGAGGAGAAGAATGCCTTAAAAAGCAAAATTGACCAAATGGAAAAGGAGGTCCTAAAGCTCACTGAGAAAAATAATTCCTTAAAAATTAAAACAGAGTAAATGGAAGCTAATAACTCTATGAGAAATCAAGAAATTATAAAACAAAGCCAAAAGAGTGAAAAAAATAGAAGACAATGTGAAATATCTCATTGGAAGAACAACTGATCTGGAAAATAGATCCAGGAGAGATAATTTAAAAATTATTGGACTACCTGAAAGTCATGATCAAAAAAAAGAGCCTAGACATCATCTTTCAAGAAATTGTTAAAGAAAACTGCCCTGATATTCTAGAACCAGAGGGTAAAATGGAAATTGAAAGAATCCACCAATCACCTCCTGAAATAGATCCCAAAAGGAAAACTCCTAGGAATATTATGACCAAATTCTAGAGTTCCCAGGTCAAGGAGAAAATATTGCAAGCAGCCAGAAAGAAACAATTCAAGTATTGTGGAAATACAATCAGGATAACACAAGATTTAGCAGCTTCTACATTAAGGGATTAGAGGGCTTGGAATATGATATTCCTGAGGTCAAAGGAACTAGGATGAAAACAAGAATCACCTACCCAGCAAAACTGAGTGTAATCAATGAAGGGAAAAAATTGACATTCAGTGACATAGAAGAATTTAATGTATTCTTGAGAAGCCAGAGCTAAATAGAAAAATTGACTTTCAAATACAAGACTCAAGAGAAGCATGAAAAGGTAAACAGGAAAGAGAAATCATAAGGGACTTATTAAAGTTGAGCTGTTTACATTCCTACATGGAAAGATGATATTTGTAACTCATGAGACCTTTGTCACTATTAGGGTAGTTGGAGGGGGAAAAAAATATATATATATATATAGATAGATAGATAGATAGATAGATAGACAGACAGACAGAGGGCACAGAGTGAGTTGAAGATGAAAGGATGACATATAAAAAAGAAAATTAAGGGATGAGAGAGGAATGTACTGGAAGAAAGGGAGAGGTAGAATAGGGCAAATAATCTCACATAAAACAGTCAAGAAAAAACTTTTACAGTGGAGAAGTGAAGGGAGGTGAGAGGGAATGAGTGAATCATCCACATTCTATTGGGGGAAGAATTTGATGGTTGTCCACCATGGTTTTGAAACAGTAGCCACAAAGTGACATGGAAGGCCTGGTTCCAGGCAAGGGGGCAAAACTCAACTCTGAGCCCTGTGTCCTAAGGGAAAAGTCCAAGATTCTGATGAAGGGGTGCTTAGAGGAGGGAAGATAAGAACGATGACTGGAGTGGAGGCAGCATGCCTCAGAAACAGTGGCTGGAAATCATGCTCTCATATGGTATAGTGGAAAGAGTCATGGAAGAGAAGTCAGGAGACCTAGACTGTAATCAGTGGTGTGCTGGATAAAATAACCAGCTTTCCTAATTAATCTACATTATTAACATTTTCTTAAGTCCAGATGATCAATAAAACAATATATCAAATCTGATTTTTAGTGTTTGCCAATTCCCAAGGTATAAATGCTCACATTTGATAGATAGATAAAGATAGGTAGACAGAGGTGAAAATTTAACAACCATCACTCATCAGCTAGTTAGAGCAGGCTCCCACATACCCTAATGCTGACTCTACCATTAACTTCCTGTTGTGACCATATGTGTAGCACCAGCTCTCTAGGGCTGCTTCCTCATCTGTCAAATATGGAGTTTCTATCTTCTAAGGTCCCTTCTGCCTCATAATTTGTGATTCTGAATCTTTCCCAGACCCAAAGAAATTATAGCTTTTTCCTCTTCTCATTGTCCTACTACATTCCATAGTGCCTCAATTTATCCTTGTACACATCTTCACATTTTTTCAATCCCACAATCAAAAGCAGGAACTCCTTGCTGAAACTATCTTTTTAGAAGATTTTGGAAATCATGTTTCTACTGCCACTGAATAACCTTCACAACTCTATGACCCCAGTGTGAACCACAGAGGGCTTAGGATTACAAAGGAGCCTTGGGAATGGGATGTTGGTTGTCTGCAAGAGTGCTATTCACTGCCCAGAAATAGAACCCAGCCTCTTTTGTGCAATAAGCCAAGGATAAAGATAATTATATAATTATGGGGAAACTAGACTTTTCTTTCCAAATATTCAGGTGATTGTTTTCATTCAGCTTCCTCTTTGGAGATAGCCTGAGGTATAGAGGTAGCAGGACTTATATCGATCATTTTGCAGGTGGTGAGGCACTTTTCTTTCATCGTTTGGGATACTAAGCTGACATCAGTCTTGCTCTATAATTCCAAAGGGACAGGAGGAGCTATTATTTTGCTCTGCACTCCTGCGGACCATGCAGTTTCATCTTCACCCTAGCTATTTTCAGCTATGCCAGCACCTTTCCACAGTCCTTCTCCTCTCCTCATGTCCTCTCCACCTCTTGCTCCATGAAATGGAAATCAAGATTGTCATTGTCAATGGAAAGAACATGTTAACTGAGTGCCCTACTGTTCCATTCGACATCTTTGTTATTTCCCAAACCTACATAGTGCCCTGGCCGCCATTCCCTTTTGTGCTGTGTCCCTCGTTAAAATTTTTTGAGGGCAAGGGCTGTCTGGCTTTTGTACTTGTATGTCCAGCTTGGCACATAACTTGCGCTTTACAATAATTTATTCAAATAAAAAATGCCAATTTATATGCTGTTTTGCACATTGACTTAAAATCCATAAATATTCCAAACCATTTATGGTTTGCAGCCTCCAATCTAGTCTTGCCATTAAATTCCAATTAAAAGCTGACATTCACGTCAGCTATTCATGACAGGTAGGTGGTGCAGTAGGTAGAGTAGCAGGCCTGGAGTTAGGAAGACTCATCCTCCTAAGTTCAAATCTGGCCTCAGACACTAGCTATGTGACCTTAGACAGGTCACTTAACCCTGTTTGCCTCAGCTTCCTCATCTGTAAAATGAGCTGGAGAAGGAAATAGCAAACCACTCCAGTATCTTTGCCAAGAAAATCCCAAATGGGGTCACAAAGGGTTGGACACAACTGAAACGACTAAACAGCATTCACACAGCCAATTTGTGCTTTACAGCTATTAAATAATCTTTATAATGAACGTAAGATGCCACTTGATGTAGGTGTTAACAGGTATAATTTTGTAGACTGAGATGCAGAGAAGTACCTTGCTCAGTTACAAAATCAATAGGCTTCAGAGGCAGGATTTGAACCTAGTGCTCTTCTGACTTCAAGTCTTGCTCTCTTCTCATTATACCATTCTGTCCTATTCATGAAACTATCATTTCCCTAATTTTAGGCAATCCTCAAGTTACTTTAAGGCATTCCATTCTAAGAATCTAGTGTTTATAAAAAGAATCTTAACTTTCAGTGGGAAATGCCATATTTTTCTAAATGTTACGAACAACTGTCAAGCTATACTATTAGCTAAAATGGGGGAAATGAAGATATTCTACCTACTCCAGGTCTAGGACAAAGGAGACAAACCTCTGCCCCAATAATTCTTTCTTGCCTGCTGTCTTTTTATTGACTTATAGAAGAGTATGTGTAATGTGTATTAGGCAAATATCTGTGAAGTGAGTTAGCTTATAAAACAATGGAAATGCCAGTGATTCTGATTATAATCACCTGTTTACATTTCTTCTTCCATTCCCACAGCAAATCCAAAACGTGATGGAGCTTTAGGTACGTACAACAAATAATGCTTCAATAAAACAAGAATGAATGATATCACCGTTATCATGAGAAACAGTGGCTAAGAATTTATGTCTTTCACAGATAAGCTACATGGGAAGGAGACTGTCAAACGTCAACGAAGTGTTTCTCTTGTTCTCATCTTGGCGCCACTTTTGATTATACTGTCTATCATATTGGCCATTCTGATAAAGCATTATTATCCAAGGTAAACTATTTCTAAGTAACTTTAATCAAAAGAGGATATGGGACAATATTATCCTTAAAAATGTCTGAACCACAAAAGATTTCTAATTCAGAAAGGGAAATGCATTTCTGAATATTTTTAAAGATCTAAAAATGGGAGAAATTGTATTACTTGATCACGTACAAATTTAAACTGAGTTTTAAATTATTTTCTTTCCAACCACTTGGTGTCACAACAGAAACCCAACACCTCAGGGGAAATGGAACAAAATGTCCAACCCAGGGAGAGTTTTGATAGGAGGTTTCTCTT